AAGCACAGCCATGTATTTCCTAGTTATTAAATAATTGCTTTGACTTAGTCCTGGATTATATGGCTTGGTGAGGTATACTAGATACCTAAGATAGGGGTCCCGCTGCTAGGAGTTTGCAATTGGAGACCTGATTAACCCATATAGAATTTAAATTAAAAAAAACTTAAAGTTATTAAATAGAAACATATTTTAAAGGGTTGGTAGTTACCAAAGTATTATAGAGGAGGTAGGATTTGTTCTGGGTCTTGAAGAGGAGAGAACTTTGGCCAAGAGAGAGACAAAAGATGAGACTGAAAAAAAAGAGCAAAGGCATACTATCCTACCTTCATAGGTCAGAGAGAGGCTATTCTCTTGGGAAAGGTGGTAAACAAAGGCACATGAGCAGAATGGTTTGAACATAGCTCAGCAGGATAGAAAGGGCATCCCTGATTTGAACATAGTTCAGCAGGATAGAAGGAATTATTCAAGACTGATAGGCAAGATTGATGGAAGGCTTGATTAGGACCAGTGACCATTTCCCTTTGATTTCTAAGGTACTCAACGTCTTTAGCGCTCATTAGGTAATTGCTTGGAACTTGTGCGCTTTTAAAATATATTATCCCTTCATGTGCGCAGCCTATATGGGGTAGGTGCGGCGCAAATTTGGTGATGATGAAAGACAGGCGAAAGGAAGATGAGACTGGCAACAAGTGACCTGAATTGGAAGGAAGTGGAGGCAGAGAAATCAGTGAGGAGGCTATTTCAGAAATGCAGGGATGAAGGAAGGAAGGTGGAAGAGTCCGATATGAGGGTGTGCTTAGGGAGTATGATGACAAGGAGCTGCAACTAGTTTGGAGAATAAGTAAAATATTAATGTTATGATGAAATGATTTGATGGTCCATGATTCCACTCAGCTAAGACGGAAACACTGGGAGCGGAAATTTGTTTCAGCAAATAAGTTGAGGGTTTGGGTTCTGTGTCTCTGAGAAGATGGCAGGGTCACGTGAAGTGTTGTTAGAAATGAAGATTGCTGACCCATCCCGCACTGAATAGATTTGATGGTGAGAGAGGGGTTTAGTAACCTGTATTTTAAACAAGCATGCCTGGTGACTCATGAAGCACTCACGTAGGCTCTGTGTGAAGAAAGAAAGAGAGCAAGAGGGGGAACTGCTGCTTCTGCGAAAGCCTCCAGGGAGGAGCGATGGAAAGGCCTGACAACACAGATAGAAGTTGCCGTGGGAAGGAATAGGAAAGAGGGATGGTGTGGGAGAGCTGAGGCTGGGGTGTGGGGAGCATGGTGAGAATAGCGGGATGCAGATTTCGCTCTGGGAATCATGAGACGAAAGGAAATTAATGTCCCATGGCTGGATTATGCTTCTGCTAACGAAGACTAAAGAACTGGTGCTGGAGAAGAATACTGAACATACAGTGGACGGCGGAGCGACAAACGAATCTGTTTGGAAGAAGTACAATCAGGGAGCTCCTTAGAAGTGAGCATGGCGAGACATTGCCTTAGGTACTCTGGATGTGCTATCCAGAGAGACTGTCCCTGGAAAAGAGTGTCATGCTTGGTAAAGTCGCTCAGATAAACAGGGAGATGGACTGACCCACTGCCTGCAACAATGAGCTCCAACGTAAGACCACTTGCCAGGATGGTGTAGTACTGGGGAGTGTCTCGTTCTTTTCCGCACAGGGTCACTAACTGGACAGCACCTAACAACAATGCCAGAATGTGTGTAATTAGCAGAAAAGTGCTATACATAGCCTTTCCCTCTTCTTTGCTACAGTCTTGTGAGATTTATGGAGCACTGACTGGAGGGTTAACCTTGCAGTAGATGTTTTAAGAGACTCCAAGAGCGTGTCAAGTACCAGAAGCCACTCAAAATAAAATGTGATTTACATTTAAAAGGGACTACAAATTGACACACAAATAAGTGATCATTCACTTAACAAAAATATGGTGTCGCTTATGTGCCAGAGTGTGGTTTATCAGAAAGGTGACCTGCATGAGTTTAAAGGCAGATTGTGTAAGATGGTGAAGACAGAGATTGGCAGATGCTTACGGTCCTTAGCTTCATTTATTCAACATTCCACAGATATTTATGGAGTACCTTATTGGTGTCAGGGACTATTGTAAATACAGAAAACACAGCAGCAAGTAAAACACAAAATACTCTGCCCTCTTTGAGATTGTATTGTGTTGGGAGATAAAACACAATGGTTTTATAGTATGAGGGTAAGTGAAAAAGTATTGCTACTAGGATTCGATCTCACCCATACATAGGTTTAAACATGATCAGCGGATGACAGCCGACAAGTTCTCTCAGTAATGCACTGAATCTCCTTAGGGTGCCTACAAAAAAGAAGTCCAATTGAAACAGTGGTTTCCAAAAAGGGGCCTACTGGGCCAGGTAATTTCAAAGCACAAAGATAGCTCAGAAGGTTAGTGGCTGTTTTTTTGAGTGTCTGAAGAGGCAATCTTGATAGATTTTCTCAAAGCACATAGGATGATTATGGAGGCTTACGAGGAATAACGTTTTTAAGAAAACGGAAATCTACATTCATGAGAAAAACAAACAAAACAGGAGAGGTGCACCCAGGGGCAGTTTTTCCCATCATGACAGACAACGCACCTGTTCATTCTATTGCATTGGGAAATCTTACACCATCCAACCTACAGCCCAGACCTTACCCCCTTCAGACTTCTTGTTGGTCCCCTCATTCAAAGAACATTTCAAAGGAATATAGTATGAGGCCCTCCAGGATGTCCAAACTGCCTGTGATGATGTGGTGTTAATTGAAAAGTATGGAATTCTTCAGGGAAGGGCTAGAGTGGGTGAAAACTCTACCGTAGAGAGAGGATAATCAAGAAATAACAGCTTCACATTTGGATGCTTTTGTGTACTGGAGGTTTCTATGAATTTATACAGTATCTATCTATCTATCTATCTATCTATCTATCTACCTACCTACCTACCTACCTACCTACCTACCTACCTACCTATCTATCTTCTATCTATCATCTGTCTACTTCCCCTTTGTCTCTCCCAAAGCACTCTCTCTGCAATAGCCACATGGAACTCACAATACTCACGATTGTGGGGTTTATTCATGAAGCTGATACAAAGTGCTAAGGATACAGTTTGGTCTGCAGGGCCTCTTCTCTGCCAGGCCCACCTCTTACTCTCTCAGCCCCAGGGTCCTTGGGCTCTGCTTGGGCAAATGTTACAGAGCTCATTTAGTGCTAATAAATGCCCAAAGGGAAACCCAGCCTAGTCAAGTCAACTTCCGGCCCACGGTCACTCCGGAGGCATTGCTCATTCAGTGGGCTGGGAAGCCCACCTCTGGCAAATCCTCTTGGTGCTGATGTGCAGGGATCTTGGATGCATTCTACACATGGCTCTTTTGGGGGGTCCTCAGATTCTCTGTTCCTGCTTCTCAGATACCCAGCTGGTAGGGAAAATTCACCAATCCCCTCACCTTAGTCTCACATACCCCATCAGTCAGTGGGAGTTACAAAGACTACGGGTGGAAGAGTCATACTCAGCTGTTTCGCTTCACTATCCACCCTGGTATAGGAGACATCGAGTGGGCACATTCCCTGCTACCTACTCCAAAACCTCTCACTGCCATACAGTTAATTTCTACTCACAGTGACCCTACAGGACAGGGTGGAACTGCCCTTGTGGGTTTTCAAGACCCTAAATCTTTACAGGAATAGAAAGCCTCGTCTTTGTCCTGGCCTCTTCTTGGTGCCAGGGGCTTTAGGAGTGAGATAGGAATCAACCTCGTAGATGGCAGCCCATATAAAGGGCAGGAAGAAAAGGAAGGAAAACTAGCTTTGTAACGCCTCCGTTAACAAGCATAAGTAGCTGGGATTTGAAACAACTGTTTTAGCTGTTGGTCTGTGTTGTGGGTGCTGGTCTGCCACGTGTCGATTTTCCAAACTCCCAAGTAAGCTTCCTCCTTTCCAGGTCGTTTATCAGCACAGACTCTGGGATTGTTAGCATATTTAATTACCCCATTGCTTCATGTGGTAACTCTGAATGTTAACTGATTAATCTTGTCTTCTAATGAATGCCTCAACGATTTTCCTTAGATCTAAAGTCGTCGCTGTTACTTAAAAATAGCCTGGCTCCTGCCTGTGCTTCTTGGGCAATGGGGTACACTTGAGATGCCTTTTGGGGAGACTTGTGACGCGGCTTCAAAATACCAAGAAAAACTACCCTTCTCCTCCCTAATTCCATCCTGTAAACGCAGCTACGAGAGGGTTGCCTGAGCCTGGGACTAGGTTCCTGTGCTGTTAACATTAGCATCCAGGTGGCGACCTGGAATCCTCAGGGTGAAACGTCTGCTTCGTCTCTGCCTCGGTCGCGAAGTTGCTTTCCAGATTTGGTGATGCGTGTTTACTTCCACAATAAACGGTAGTCGGTGAATGTGCACCGCGGGGGTAGGGGGAGGGAATGCCGCAGCTCCCCGCGGCGACGGGATCGCGGTGCGGAGGCGTCTGCCGCGAGTCTAAAGTGCACGCAGCGGACGGAGACGCGGTCCGAGCCCACCGCTGTGGCGGTGTGGACCACTCAGACTCCGGAGTGAGTCCGGCAGTCCCTCCCCCTTGCGGAGGCTCCGCCCACGCCGCCCGGGCCCGTCCTCTCCACCGCCCCAGCCCCCCTCCTTCTTACGCTCGCCCGGCCCCCGCCCTCCGCCCTCCGCCCGCCGCCGCCCACTCCGGCACGGCCCCCGCCCTCCGCCGCCTGGCCCCCAGCCCTCCTCTCCGGCGGCCCTCGCCGGCTCCCTCTCTTCCCTCTTCTCACACCGCCCTCAACCGCTCCCTCCCCGCACGCGCGCCTGAAGAGGAATCGAGCGCGGAGCGCATCGATAGCTCTGCCCTCAGTGGCCGCCCGGCCCCGAACTCATCTGTGTGCTCGGGGCTCGACCTTCCTAGGCGGCGGCCGCGGCAGCGGAGGCAGCAGCGGCGGTGGCGGCTGCTCGGTCAGTCCCCCCCGGCCCCCGCCATTTCGGACTGGCAGCGAGCGAGGCGCGGACGCTGAAGGCGGCAGTGGGGGCCAGAGGTTCGGCGGCTCCCAGGTGCGGGAGAGAGGTACGGAGTGGGCCACCCCTCTCGGGGCCCCTGCCCCGGTCCCGACCCTCCGCGCCGGCGCCGGGAGGGGCCGGCGGCGAGTGAATGAATTAGGGGTCCCGGGCGGGGGCGCCGGCGCGGAGCCCAGGCGCGCGGGGGGTGGTCTGCAGGGGGAGGCGCGGCGAGTGAGGAATGGGCGGTGTGGGTCTGAAGAGGGTGAGGCTAGAGGCGGCCGCCGCTTCTGCTGCTTCCTGGACGGGGAACCCCTTCCTTCCTCCTCCCCGAGAGCCGCGGCTGGAGGCGGCCGGGGAGAAAGTCGCGGGCCGGGCCGGCTGCCCCGCGGGGCGACGGGGTGCGGTGGAGGTGAATCCCGAGGCGCCCCTGGCTTCCCGCCCCCTCGCTGTCCTTCCCTCGCCCTCTCCGTGCTCCCGCACCTTTTTTTCCTCCCTGCCCCGGCGCTCTTCTGCCTTGGTCTCTGCTTCTCTGCTGTGTCTAGCATCCCTAGGACGAAGGCATAAACTTCTCCCTCGAGCTCAGGCTGGTTGGATAATGGGCCTTTTCGATGTGGGGAAGGGATGTATGGGTGAGAAGGGAGGTCACGTTTAGGAAAAGAATCGAAAAGTGATCAGAGACCACTGTTTGAGGTTATTGTGTTTGGAAAAAATGCATCTGCAGCCCAGTTCCTGACTGCTCCCCTCCCCCATGTACGGGCTGTGACATTGCTGTGACCACAAAGGAGGAGGTGGAGATAGAGATGGTGGTGGAAGAACAGGTGGCCAACACCCTACACGTAAAGAATGAGTCTGTGACCTGCAGTGAAAAGGAAAAAGTTAATCCCAAAAGGTTTGCCTTGCTTTATCGAGTTAAAACACTTGCAGAAAACCTGCAGGGCACAAGCGAGGCCTTTTCTTTGCCAGTTGAGTGGTGCAGCCAGCAATAGCTGAAATAATATTTGAAGTTTAATTGGCTTGTGCATGTTCTGCGCCTTCTCTATATTACCCGTGTCATTACAGATGTCTTGCCTATCCCAAGAGTTATTATAGTACTCCGTTTGACAGCACGCATGCAGTTAAAATTTTTTTAAAAAATTTAACTGACTTACAGAGGTGTTGGTTTTAGCAATAGACCCAATTAACTACCTGAAACAACTTAAGCAGGGGCGTGGTGTAGCTGGTCTTAAACCTAGCCTTCTTAAATCTTAATACTCATCAAAACAAGGGATTGGGTACAGAAATGCACCTTTTACTTTTACACAATATGCATACTTTGCAATGAAAAAAATCACTCAAGATGATAAAAATGCGTGTGTGTGTGTGTGTGTGTGTGTGTGTGTGTGTGGGGTGTCTGTTTGTAATCTTCATCTGTGAGTCCTGGTATTGTACTAGTTAGGTGTTGGGTTGCTAGCCGAAAGGTTGGCGGTTCGCACCTACCAGCCGCTCTGCAGAAGGCAGGTGTAGCAATAAGCTTGTGTAAAGTCTACAGCTTTGGAAATCCTGTGGGCAGTTGAAGGTTATGCTGAGTGGGAATTACCTTGATGCCTATGGGTTTGGTTTCTTTTCTTTTTCTTTTTGGTAATTATCTCAACCATATGTCTGCTGTCACTTTCAAGTGGCCAGGGCTGAAATGCTGGCTTGAACATTTGACAGACTATAGACATGAAATAGAGCTGATGTCAGTACTGTTTACTTTGAGGCTGTAGTTACCTACAGGCATACTGGGTTTTAAGAGAGCTGGCAAATAGTAATTACATTTTATGAGAAAGGTAAGTTTAAAATTTTTGTTTTGCTCAACACAATTTGTTGAGGTCCAGCCTAGTTTCACCCCTTGTTAGCTTCTGTAAACTTGAGTGTGGGAGGCTTTTCTGGGCTGTGATCTCCAATAAGATTCCTTTGGAACTCATTTCACTTTAATGGACTTAAATATTACTTGGTTATTAATTGATTAAGGCTTTCCCTTCTCCCCTCCAAACAAGCACAGTGTAAACAAGTAGACCAGAAAGCTTATGTCTCTGAATTCACACATGCATATACTTCCAACATCTCATCTGTCCACAGTGTCCTCTAGGCTAGCAAACTTTCTGGTCTTAGGTCCTTTTTATACTCCTAAGAACTATTGACCCCCAAAGAGCTTTGATTTATATGAGGTGTATGAGCAGTTACCATATTAGAAACTAAAACAATGCCTTTATTAATTCATTTAAAAATGGAAACAAATTCATTGCATGTAACAAAATTCTATATAAAAAATGATTAACCAAAATCCAGGCAAAAATTAATGAGACGAGTATTTCACACTTTTGCAAATCTCTTTAATGTTTGGGTTAATAGAAGACATCTGGATTCTCATATGTGCTTCTGCATTCAATCTATTACAATCACATCTGGAAAATTCTACACTTGTGAAAATAGGAGTGAAAAGGGCAAGCCACATCTTAGTGTTATTGTAAAAATATTTTTGACCTCTTGGGCTCCCCAAAAGGTCAAATAGGAACCTCTAGGGGTTCTAGACCACACAGAGAACTGCTTTTCTAGGTTATCCAAAGTGGGCATTTTTTTTTTTGTTTAGTTTGCTTGTTTGGGTGGGGGTTGGTCGAGTGGAAGTAGAGGATATATTTTGGTGTGATATTTCTTCTCCATCCTCTTTGAACATGCTATTTAGGAAAGACCAATTGCTAGAAAGGGGCATCATGTTTTGGAGGAGAGGGTCAGAGGAAGCAAGGGACTCCTTCAATAAAATTGATTAACACTAACCCCAACAACATAAGATAGTGCAGAGCTGGCAGAAATTTTTCTGTTACACATAAAGCCATTATGATTCAGAACTGACTGGATTGCAATTAACAATAACTCATAACAGCACCCCCGTTTGCTGTGGCGCACGCCTGAAGTCCACAGTGGAGGCACGCAGGATATGATGGCATGTGTGAGGGCTCCTGAGGAAGCACTAGGCAAGAAGCAAGCAAGGCCAGGTGGAGGAAGGTGTGAGCCACAGACCCGTGATGTAGCTGGTGTTTAGACCCAATGCTCTACGAAGGCCATCGTTTGACCAACCAGATGATTATTATTCTGGTGCCTCTTTGCATCATTCTTGCTCTTCATTTACCATGAATCAGAATTGACTCTGTGACAGTGGATTTTATTTGGACAGTTCTTTCTCTTCAGTGGATTGGGTTGACGAGTTTATCTACCCTGTATATGTACTTACATTTGTTCACTTGGAATTACTTGTCGTGGGATGTGTGTAAACACTTTTCCTGCATTTTACTCCTTATTTGTAATAATATGGAGTTCATGAGGGAAAGAGGATAGAATTAAACATTTCATTTTAATTTTAAAGATTTGAACTGCTCACTAAAAATTTTTATTCTAGTTTTACTTGTAACATCGGATTTCATTTTCAATCTTTGCTCGTTAACAGTCCAAGTTACCTGTATATATTATACCCACTGGGAGACAGTTTATAAGTATGAAGTAAACATCGTGTTGATTATTGAGAAATATGTACATCGTTTTAAAATTTCCTTTTATTAAAAACTGTCTTGACTTTTGTTTTATACGATTACATTTTTTCTCATGCAAAAGTTGTTATTCACTAATACATGATTACGTATTGTGATTGATGATCGTGTCACCTATCATAAACCCAAACCTTCTGCCATCAAGTTAATTCCAACCCATAGCAACCCAATACAGAGTTTCTGAACTGAAGACCTTTATGGCAACAGCCAGCCAGCTTCATCTTTCTCCTGAGGGAGCTGCTGGTGAGTTTGAACTGCAGACTCTGGTTTGTAGCTCAACACATAGCCTGTAGCACCTCAATCCAGAATTCTCTTTTAACGCCATTATTTTTCCCCATCAAATGTCTTACAGATTGACATATCAACAAATTTCATTCATTATATGCGTCAGTGTCTCAATTTCAGTGTGACCAACTTGTTGTGACAGCCCCCTTGCCCTTATTCTGATTCTAGCTACTTCTCCAGAACTATAAAGATTATTATTATTTTTTATACCTTGGCTCCATAAAAGACCCTCTTAGCATATCCACGTCTACCTCTTAAAGAGGAGAGTCAACTAGAAATACTGCAGCCACAGGCATGGAGATAGCTGTCAAGGAGTTTTGTGTGGGTGTTTCTGCAGGGTAGAGAGCACTGTAGTGCAGACTTGGACTGAGTGAAGTCTTGATGTGTCCCTTTGAGAGCCATTGGCTGCTATAGAACAGCAGACTGGCTGTTTGGATTGAGTAACCTGAATACAAGATAAAAGATAAAAGAACGAACGGTCTGTGTTTTGAAAGCATTTTTCTCAGATGTTGATAGAGGAGTTTATAAATGAATTACATAAGGTTCATTACAATACTTCTATTTTGTCAACTGAAATGCTCATCGTTGAATTTTGTAAGACATTTTGAAATAATTCTCTATGTGAAGGTGAGTTTGTGTTACGTTATTGACAGAAGGTATGAATTATGTTAATCTTGGGTGTGACATGTTCTAATTTAGCCACATTTCTGTTATTTTTATCATAAGGCCTGCTGAAAATGACTGAATATAAACTTGTGGTAGTTGGAGCTGGTGGCGTAGGCAAGAGTGCCTTGACGATACAGCTAATTCAGAATCACTTTGTGGATGAATATGATCCTACGATAGAGGTAAACCTTGTTTTAATATTATGGACACTGAATTGTGCAGGCCCAGCCTTTGGTACCCAGAAAAGTTTGTTTGATCGTTTTGTGAGCACTTACTTATCTGAAAGCAATTTTATTATGCTGACATATACTTAGGCTTCAAGGCTTTAACTCTGGTTACATGAACCCCTGTAAATATGGGCAGGCTTACATCTTTCACAAAATATCAAGGACCTTGATCTGTTCTTTATGTCAGTATTTGGGTTTTCTCATTTTACGTATATATGAGAGTTTGGTGAGACAGTGAAAATGTAAGGTTGCATCTTAATATGTACCTAAAAGTCATGTTTCTATGTTGCTAATGTGGGTTTGTTGGTCTTTGGACTTCACATGCAAACATTAGAATTGGTTTCTGCTGGGGAAATAAAATAGTTTGATGGGTGATTTCTTAAACACTTAATTTGTGTTTTTCCCTCTACACTAAAGTAGTTGATGACACCTGGCAGTCTGATGAATTTTGTAAAGCTCATTCTTTGCTAAGGGTGCTGCTGCTAAATCCTTACCTTTGCTCTCCGGTCCTTTTAAAATTTGCCGTAGGAAATGTGATGATTGCTGTTATTGCAACTTGAGTAACAAAAACACTCTTACAGATTATTTTAATTTTGTGAAAATGTACAAAAAGTTAAAGGCCAGCAGCAAAATAGCAGAATGAAGGCCTGGAGTAGACACCGAGTGGTCAAGGAGTGTTTCCTGATGTCTTCTGACAGCATTACGGTCAAGTTATTGTCGACAGATAAGGATTGAATTAATCCCAGAGACATACTGGCGGGAGGTTCCCCAACTGCCTTGCTAACGTATTTTCATAATGTGATTTTTGCATACTTTATGCATAATCTGACTCTGACTCTATGTTGTAATTAACATCAGTGAATTGAGACCCAAGTGTTTCAGCTCATCTTTGAAGTAGCTTTTCTTAATGTTGTCAGATTATATTTTAGCCTTCTTTACTCCAGGTTTAGCAATTTAATCCCTAGCCTTTCTTCTAGACCTGATGTACCAAGTGAAAAATTAGTTCTGAAAAAGTTCCCAGAGTTCTCCTTGCTGTAGAATCTAGAACAGGTTCGAGGGTCCTATGGAACTGTTGTGCACTGACATGGGATCTGAGGCCGTTGGATGTTTGAGGGAGATAGTTATTCCATTTAGAACTCTGAGGATTTATTAGGAAATGGCAATTAGCCATTTTATCCTGTAAAAAATGGTGAAAGTGCTCATTTGAAAAGATTTTATGTAAATATAGAAATAGGTTTTATTTGGCTTTGAATGTGTAAGCATTTAGCTAAGTAAAGGGAAATAGTTCTATCCTTCCTTGTAGACAATGTATATAATGGTCACTATAGAATTACTCTTCCAGATCACTTCACAACTTTGTGTGTTTACATTCTTTTTACTTTCCTTTCCCCTGAGGATTGGGTAGTTCATCTATTTCAATCCACAGTCCAAAGGCAGGTTTATTTGGCATACTCTATCATTGAAATCATGTGTCAAAGGAAGTTTCAATAGAACTCAGGTTTAAGTATGGAAGTTTTCCTGGGATTTTAGAAGATGATTTTAACAGAAGAGTTCTTCTATCTTCTCCAAAAGTCTTGAGAAATTGCATTACACTTTTTTTCCTTTCAGGGTAAATGACTGCTATATAAAATAGATACAGAATCTTTTGCCACAGTTTAAAAGTAACAATGTAAATAAAGCTAATAGTTAATGCTTTATAACCAGGGAAGTTAGGGAACGTTTCTACACTCTGAACAAACGCCTAACTCCGACTCTGACTTCTGCCAGACTAGAGGATTTAACTCTAGGAAGCATTGATTATTTGTGAACTTTGAAACTGACACTCTCTCACTAGTTAAACCACCTGGGACAAGGTCTCTGGGATTGTCTCTTATCTCCCAAATCACTGCGAGCTTCTGAGGGAACTGACAGAAGTTCTTGGTCTAATATAGTAACAAAGAAAGGCAAGTGCATTTAGTGATGTATTTCAATAGTTGATTAAAATGTTGCTTTGGTCTTTTGGGGACAAGTTTAAGAAGGAAAAGAAGTTTCATTGTTCCTGCTAGATTTTGATTGGTGAATATTCTGGGCTGGAGGGAGCATAAGAGAAGACATGGACCTTGGACGTTTGGAATCCTCATCAGTTTTGCTACATTAAAACAACTGGAAAGAATGTTTCTCAGATTTTTAAAAATCGAGTAATAGCATATTTGCTAGTGCTTTAGAATTTACCTTGGCTTCACTTTGACATAGATAAAAGAGGAGGGACATTGTTTCTTTCGTCTGACAGATAAAATGGTCTCCGAGAGGCTGCACCACACCTGGGGAGGGGAGGGGGGGATCACATTGGTTGCTGCCTTGTCAAGTCCAACTCATAGGGAATCAAAAGGACAGAGTAGAACTGCCCAGTTGAGTTTTGAAGGCTGTAAATCATAAAGGCTGTAAGCCATAAAGGAAGTAGATTGCCTCTTCTCCCATGAAGCATCTGGTGAATTTGAATGGCTGACCTTTCAGTTTATAACAGCCAAGTGCTTAACACTGTCCCACTAAGGGTTCTTGTAACTCCCCTAATATGAGTTTAAATGAGTATGTGGTGGAACCCAGGTGTTCGGAGACCAAATTAGGTGGAATTTCCACTTGTTTAACTTGTGCCCTTAGATAACTTCTTAATAGTGAAAAATGTGTTGTCTTGCAAGCTCAGCTGAAAAAATGTATTTATAATAATTATAATTTTTACTAAATTTAAACTACTATCTAATGGCACCTTAACCGCATAGGGCAAAGCCTTATATTATGATGCAGAATTAAAAAGGTCTGGCACATAAATGCACAGCATGTTGTTTGAGGCCCTGCATATGATAATCCCTTCTGTTTTAATTCTGAATTTTTTATAATTAGCTTTTATGAAGTCCATCAAAGGGTTCCAAATCTTTTATGAAGTCCATAAAAGAGTTCCAAAGGGAGTCTCTGACAAACAGTGTTTAAAACACAAATGTGTGCTTTGATAGTTTAGGCATCCCTTGTTATTAGCAAGCATATCCTCTGAATTGTTTTTTCCAGGAGAAAATTTAGTGGAAAAGAAAAATCTAACTTTAAGAAAATGCAGGAGAATATAGACATACAAAGATCAGAATGATTAGTTGATCAGTGGAAAAGCGCATGTTAAATATCTACTGGATGTAATATGCTGATATAAGTAAATATAGTAAGAAATATTTTTTCCAGGATTCTGATTCACTGGAAGGTGTATGCTTCTATTATTGTAGCATTTATAATCCAAGAATTATGCTTTTTGTTGATGAAAGTTTCCTTCTCAGTAAGGAAGAATTGATTCACAATTGGCTGATTTGTTTTATTTTTAGTACTTTGAGCTACAGAATATTCACCAGCATTTATCAATTTCCTTAATTTAATTTTTTTCTGTGCTAATTGAAGAATTCATTTACATGTGGTTAAGGTATCTAGATGACAGAGCGTTTGCACTGTTAAATCAATATTGAGTAGTATTAAAAAAAGCCTTGTATAGTGTAAGGTCCTATTTTTCTGGTTCTGTACATCATATACATCACAATGTTCACAATGGGGGAGTATATAATACATCAGTAATTCAGAGTGGGTTTGTGTGTGTGTGTATGTATACCAGTACACACATATATATACACACACATACATACATACGCACACATATACGAGGGGGTACACCCCAAAACTGAAATTTTTTTCAAAGCTATGTATTTAAATTTTTTTACAAAACTACCTTAACCACCTTCAAAGTATTCTCCATTCTACACTTAATACATTTGTCAAACCAGTGATTCCACTCTTGGAAACATTTTTCAAATTCATCTGTTTGGATGGTTGACAGCACCTCCCTTGCTTTTTTCTTTGTCTTCTACTTAATCAAATTGCTGTCCTTTCATGTTCCTCTTCATTCTTGGAAACAAAAAGAAGTTGCATTGAGTAAGGTCAGGTGAGTAAGGTGCACAGAGCAAGAGGGGCATGCTCTTTTTTTTGGCCAAAAACAGCTCACTGAGATGGCTGTGTGAGCAGGCGTATTGTTGTGATGGCAAAAAAAATGCCCTATCTGCCACAGATCAGGCCTTTTTTGTCACACACTGTTAGGCAATTTTTTCAGAACCTCTGAATAGAAAGCTTGAGTAACAATCTGACTCGGTAAAAGATCTCCAAATGCACTGTGACCAGACATTTTAATCTGTTTAGGCCAGCGGTTCTCCACTCCTTTGGGGGTCGAACGACCCTTGCACAGGGGTCACCTAAAACCATTGGAAAACACATAAATATTTCATAATATATAATTACATATTGTTTTGTGATTAATCATTATGCTTTAATTATGTTTTTATGTTCAATTTGTAACAATGAAAATACATCCTGCATATCAGATATTTACCTTATGATTCATAACAGTAGCAAAATTACAGTTATGAAGTAGCAACAAAAATAATTTTATGGTTGGGGGGTCACCACAACATGAGGAACTGTATTCAAGGTTGCGCATTAGGAAGGTTGAGAACCACCGGTTTAGGAGGTTGACAGACATCCAGAATGAGGTTTATCACCAATTGACATTTCATCTTTCATGAAATGAGAAAACCACTCGTATACTTGAATTTTTCCCATAGCGCTATCCGTGTAAGTTGTGTTCAGCATTATAACAGCTTCTGCGGCATTTTCCTGGAGCAGGAAACAATTTCACAGCTGCACACTGTTCTCTTAAATCGGCCATCACAAAAAACAAGGTTCGAACAAAACTGCTCTTACAAAAAAATTCACTGAGACCAAAGAGATCTTCCCAGGTGACACCACTACTGGATGTACAGACTCAGAGTGAGTTGCTGGAAGCTTGCCTAGGCAGGAAAAATGCATATTATGAAATCTATGCCCAGTACAATTCCAGTTTTGGGGGGGTACCCCCTCATGTGCATATATACGTATTATGTAATCAGTAGTTCATA